TGACATTGGAATTAATACTGTTACCCGATCCTCACGTTGTATATGAAGAACGTATCAATAAAATATTTGTATGATTGTATCCAATAATTTATTTGCAGTGTATAGAGCTGGGGCTGTGGGTTAGGAGTATAAATATGCGTAAAGTTCAATTCCAATATGACCAATATGCTAATGACATTGTCTTGCGTTATACCATTACTTTTATTGGCTTATAATGTGCGGTCGGCTGATTACTTGTATAGTTAACACTGACAAATATTGGTTTATTCAAGCCAAACAATAAATCAACATGAGAATGATAAGATCGTATAAACATCTACATATTGCGGTCTAGTAGGGTCTACTATAGCTATGGTTTAATATTTGTAACGTGCCGAGCACAATGTCAATGCAAAACAAGTGCGCGGAGTCAAAGCCAGAGTGGCGAGCCATTTATTAAATAAAGCACAATCTTATATGATACAATTGCGTGGGAGCCTTGGCCTCTCCCAAAAGGAACTACGTCATTTACACAAACAACAAGCTTCGGTCGCCTAATCCTATTACTGTAATTTCGATTTACTTCATTGCTACATTTGCCATAACGCAACGAAAACAATTCATGAAAATATTTAATCAAAAATCTTCAAAATGTTAGGTTTTTTCCCGATTTCGGCCATTCCCCGGCCATTCCCCGCTCATTCCCCGCTCATTCCCCGCTCATTCCCCGGCCATTCCCCGGCCATTCCCCGGCCATTCCCCGCTCATTCCCCGGTCATTCCCCGGTTCCCCGCTTATTCCCTTCCCCGTTCCCTTCCCCATTCCCTTCCCCCATTCCCCGTTCCCCGTTTTAAAGATAGCCGAAAAAATATCAATAAAAGTCGCAGGCTCTATATAATCACAGAGTAAGGATATACAGAGGCGGAACTCGAGGCAAATCATGTCCCCACTTTTTTAATGCGCATGCGCGGCCCTCTGGCAAGTGTCATGCACATTTTTTATCAGGAAATAGATAGGAGAATGCCAAATTTTGGCAATAAAACGGCGATTTTAAGCGCAGTAACCGACAATCTACATTTTCTGCACGAATTTTGCAAATAAATGGCACACTGCGTCTTCCTAGCAAAAGGTAATTGAACGAGTACCATTTTTAACTGCGAAAATGAGAAAAGACACCCGAAGGAGTGAGAATTTCTGGCAATCTGAAGATTCGATTCTGTAGACCTGAACTCCAGCTGGAACTTGGCAACTTTATATGTGAGTTTTTTTTCTCTAGCTCATATATATGAAATTATCAATATATTTTTGTGAAGTGCTATGTTGTATGAAAAGGTTGTCGTTAATTTAAACATTGCATAAACAGCATTCAGATACGAAAAATATGAACATCAACATTCAACATGGACTTGGAGCCACAGTACTCTAAAGTTCTCATATAGACTTTAATTATTTAACTTATATGTTGACCCAATGGTGAGGGATTGGTCAAATTATACTTTATAGTGATTCCCCTAGACTAGTGCATTGGTTATTGTGCAATGACAACCTTTTTTTGGCTCTCAAAGGTCACTAATTTCTCAAACATGCCAAGTCTGTACATGTTTAATAATCTAATCTGTTTATTTTTTATTTTGCTTTTCTAGATTGCCAACCATTCCTGTTGAACTACATTGTTCATTACAATGAATCAGATGCAGATTTTTCTTACAACTATGTTAATTTGTTCTTCTGACTGGGGAAAACCTGAGACTATTTGATCTTATATTTGGAATGCCTTAATTAATCTTGAGTAATAGAGATGCTGTACCCCCTGACGGAGTGACCTTACTACCTGGATCATCCACCTAGGCAAGACAAATTCAAAACTTTCCATGCAAACACTTGCATGGCAGTTGCTATAATAGGGTGGCTCGGGGGGGGGGGTAAGATTTCCCTAGTACCCGGAGACCATATAGACAGGCCGTCAGATTACTGTAATAGTTTAATTGAGGTTCAAAAAAGCAGCCCTCCCCAAAGTGGTAGGCCTGCTCCCCAAATCCAGCCCCCCTTGGAAGATGTACTGTAAAGCTAGACAATTTTACTTGTTAACCCAACTTTATTATTCTGTCTAACACCGGGCGATCCAGTTAACCCATTGAGTTGCATTGCATGTGCCCTGATGCACCCTACTTTATTATTTTACTCTGTCTAACGCCAGACGATTTTACTCGTCAAGGGGTGGGCACACTTTAACAGGCAAAGTATTAATTGGGAATACTTTCTCTTTTAATGGGAAACTCTTTATCAATAAAAGGAACAATGCAATTATTCATAGTATTTAATTTTTCATATAAAGCAAAGACTGTAAGAGGAAACATGGATCATTGGCTACTTTTTTTATTTAGTATTAATTTTCATGACAACATGTGGGGTCAACTATAAAGGAAACAGTTATTGCCTATTTTGGAATAAAAAATTTAGAATATAGCAATATTCATTGACATTGAACACATATTTAATTTATTTAGTTTTTGAATAATTTAAGTTCTTAAATGTATATAAATGTGAAATAAAATAAACAACATTTATTAAAATAAACTTTGTATTTTTAAACCCCAATTACACTGTTGTATTTACATTTCACTGTTGTAGTATTTACACTGTCAGTAGTATTTACACTGTCAGTAGTATTTACACTGTCAGTAGTAATTACACTGTAGTATTTACATTTCAAGACCTTATAAACCAACATCATTCCTTGGAGTTTCTCATGACAAGATGTCTCAACCAAGATCCTCTGGAGAACTTCTTTGGCCTCATTAAGCAGCAGGGGGGGGGAATTGTGACAACCAACTAGTTCCATCCAGTTCACCAGAGCATTTTGAATATTATTTGTAGATAATATTTTGACACCACTTTCAATTGGCACCTGTGCTGAAGATTCTGATGCCTATTTGATTGCATTTCACCCTAGCCAATCTGATTTATCTGCAGGAAATGATCAGACAAGCCCACCACTAATCCAAGCAGTTGAAGATACCGACTACAAAACAAATGAAATTGAACAAAACTTAGTCTGCATGAACTTATGTGTCAGGCTATTTATTAAGGAAGTGCCTTATCCAACATAGCTGTCCAATATGCCATCATAATTTTGTGACAAAAGATGTCAATGACAGTAGTCTCTGCTATTCTGCATGTGAAAGACCTCTGACCTTTGAAGGCATAAGCATGCCTTCAAATGCGGATTAAATATCCGTAAAGAAACGTTTCTTTGCTGGAGAATATATTTGTGAATGTGGTTATTAGTTGCACAGAAAGTATTAAAAACATAGGATATAGTTTAACTTTTAATTTTTGCTCACAAATCGCAAAGCTGCATGCATGGAACCTGATGGACGTGTTTCAAATCAGCACCTATGCTTTCTTATTAATGTAAAAGACAGGAAAGCAATACGTTTGGCCCGCATTAATTTAGCGAAATGGGAATCTGCTTCTTGGCAAGAACATCACAAGCACCGAGATTGTAATTTGTATTATACTTTTTTTCTTTGTATTTAGCCTATAAACGTATATCTTTTTACATAAAAATAACCACTTACCATTTATCTTTCAAATTTGAGTCCCAAAATGAAGATTGGTTGAGCAACTTCGCAAAAATATTTATTTTTCTACTTTCGAACGGTGTTTTTCCTATGCTTTTGACTGAAAACACGACGAATGACACTTGCCAGAGCAATTTGCGTGGCGCGTGGAAATGACGTGGCACGGGGACACAAAGAACAAAGGAATCGCCGCGAGTTCCGCCTCTGTATACTCTGTGACGTCATTGAATCAACTTCATTCGCCTGAAGCACAGAATAGGAAGTTATACCAGAAGCGTAACTCAAGCAAGTATTTGTCCGCGTTTTTACAAGCGATTCGTCATCAATCACGCCATCCTGGCTAGTACAACCGGCACTTTGTACCTACCAAAACCTGATAAAAACTTCCGGCTGTACTAGCCAGGATGGCGTGGATTGGTGTGAGCGAGTTAAAAATTTCGTGGACGTAAAACAATAAGGGAAACGACTAGAGTTACGCTTCTGCTGTATCTTCTTTATTCTGTGCCTGAAGATCGCTTTGAAAGAAGCGTGAAACACAGTGTAGCGACAAATATATTTTAAGATTAAAGATATATATATTAAAAATATATACTCACCAATCTCAGATGCAACATCATCAAGTTTTTCCTTAGTTCGACTCATCAATATAATATTCAAACCTTTGGCAGCCAACTATAAATAAAACACAGGTTTTAAAGGTGATGTAAAGTCCGTAATGTAAACAAACGCTTTATTTGTTTACATTTTGAACTCAGTGCTACAGTTGTAAAATATGATTAGATAGTATATTATACTGAATTTTTAACACTCTTCCGGTTCGCTATGCTTGCAAATGAATGCAGACTAGAGATTCAATTCAAGAAAGTTCAGAAGGTGCGAAATATTAACAACATTCCAAAGGTTGCTCCCCCACTGATGGAATGTGTTGATGCGCAGAATATATGCGCAGAACGGACTTTACAGCATCTTTAACTTTTAAGAGTAAATTCCTATGAAATGAAGTCCATGAGAGCAACAAATGTATAACCTGATGCTTGCTTGCATGGGGCAACCTAAAAGTACAATGATTCAGACCGCAACAGTTCATATAATACGCTGATAAATTGTTGGTATATACTCAAACTAGAGATTCTAGATAAATTCAGTGAAATATATGCATCACATTAACAGCTATTGATGAAATCACAAATATCTTGCATTTGGATTTAATAACATCGCATAATTTGTGGCGAAACTCAAGGAATAAAAGCTAGGGCCTATGATTTTCCGTACTGATCCTAATTCGCACAATCTACTATAAATCGCTCAAATTCCATTTATGTACAAGTATAACATTCACTATACGATAAAGACGATAATTTAGGTAACTTGATCTCTCCATTGAAAAGACAGGAAAACACATAAAAATGGGCGACAGTACAAAAAATGTGTGATTTCAATATTTATATGTTCTAAAAAAAGACATCAGATGCGATCAAGCCATCACCCCCCGGATTGTTAACACTATGTATGATTGCCTCATTTGAATTTTTCCAGTCATTACATGTACAATAGTGCAAAGTAACTTTGCACTAACAAGGCTCGATCTATAGCCAAGGTGACGTACTTTCCGGGAGGGTGTATTCCTCCCCCAGCTTCATTTTCTGACTGATAACCTTAATTTAACTCATTTACCTGTTTAGCATATGACTTTCCAATACCATCTGTAGAGCCTGTAACCACTAATAAGAAAAATGAACAATTCACTCGTATGGTAACTATATTATACTGACAGTAATTGGGGGAATCACCAAGTGGCAAGTATTTCAATTAATTAAATACAATACAAGTGACAGTTACTATTGTATTGTGTTGTGTTGTACTGACAGTATATTTTAAATTTTTACTTGCTGGGAAAATTACTAAGCTCAGCTCTTCATGCATGCCTATACTGTACCTTATAGAATTATAATGCTCAGGGGCCCCCTGTTTTCGAGTGAATGCATTGAAACATCATATTACAAATAATATCATAGTGTAATTACACACTAGTAACACGCTGGTAAAACAACAAAGTAGGTCATACAGTATGATACTGCATTAAAATTCAAGACCTATCAAATACTGTACACCAGCATTTTCATATTCCAATTACCTTTGAATCCTATAACTCACATATATTAAACATTTGTAATATGAATGCGGGGTGTACAAGCTGTGGCCATTTTTAAGGTTTTCCCGGGAGGAGCATTTTTTAAAAAGGGACATTTCTGTGAGATAATATATTAGAGGGTGGCCAACATACTGTACCACTCATGAATGGGGGGGGGGGGGTCTGGGGCATTTTTAAACACTCCTAATTAGTAGTCTTTATATAAAGAATACAAATAAGGTAGTATCTGTTGTAGTTGTGTCCTCATTAGTATTCTTTACATAAAGAATACTAATAACTAAGGCAGCATATCTATTGAATTTGTAGTCGTGTTTGAAGCCGTTTAATAAACTCGCAGGTCGTGTTTCGGAGGTGTAAAGCCACTCGCGCTGCGCGCACACGATGAAAAGTTATTTTTCCATGCCATTCCATTTGGATTGAACTTTCGTCTGTAAAAATGACGTTGTCAAAATTATCTTTGTTAGTCAAACATCTTTGCAAGAATTCTAGTCGCTTGGGTTAACTTCTTTCGCGAGTTGGCAATATTTTGACCCCGTGGCCAACCAGCCAAACTTCCTCCGAAATCTCTTAATTTTCGATCACGAAAATTTCAAGCTTCGTTTCGATCAATTGTTGAAGTCTTGGGTCGTTGCTTTCCATTTGCGCATCAATTATGATTAATTAGCGTCGCTGGGAGAAAAAAAATTATATTATATAGCATAGCAATCTTGCATGCTATTTCCTTTATACTATCAATTCGTAATATTGTCTTAGTAATTAGTTTGTGTACGAGGCAATAAGATCTGGTATTACTAGTGGACGGGTATTCGGCAATACTTATATTTGTGGAAAGTGGTCTTGATGGTCGCTTTGAATCTGAATCAAATTCAACGTATGAAACAGGCCTAATTCTCTGCAATTGGCATGATATATAGTGTTAACACGCAATAGCAGTTCTTGAGTATTTTCGGGACCAGAAAATAGATTCACTATGGGTCTATGGCATCGCGAAGCAAATCGTTCATCTTTCTACACGTGGTCGTAGACGAATAACGTGGAGTGATGGATATATGGTGCAAGAGTGGGTTATGCAGGGTATGAAGAGATCCATCGATAACGCGCAGAGGCCTGGACGCGGATCAATGATGCGTCCAACTATCAATCAGGAGTCCGACTGTCTACGGGAAAAAATTTGCGCCGTCGACAGCGCCTGGTTTTGTTTGAACCGCTAAAGAAACTTACACAAACCAACTCTTTAAATTTCCTCCCCTTCACTTTCTAAAATTCGCAATATTTGCGATGGTTTATAGCCTTCTTCCAATCTTCCTTCATTTTTCGTCCCGCGAGACGGGAATCCCGTCCCTCGGGAAAAATGTCCCGTTCGCACGGGACTGTTAACTTTCCCGTGATCGGTACTGTATCTATTAATTTTGTTATTCTTCGCTTGTTTCATGTTTGTATAAATTTATAGGAAAGAGACTTTTCCTGGGTGGGGGAGGAAATGTGATTTCATCGGGGGGGGGGGCATTAGCCATGGCCTATCGCCCAGAAAATTAGAAAACGTAAAAATATGCAGGTTAAGAATCAATGGGAAAATGCAAAATTAATAATGTTAATTATTATTGTTATAGGCACGCAATTTTCCAGAACATACTATAAAAATTGATCAATATATACTGAGAATAATACATGGGTGCGTGGAAATACCAGATTTATTCCGAGTGTTGAACATGATATCAATACATGGATGCTTGGAAATACCAGATTTATTTCAACACGAGAGACAAATCTGGTATTTCCAAGCATCCATGTATTTTTCTGTATAATATAAAGTCCTGACAGTCTTTTAAAAGCGATTATCATAATTTTTACAGAAAAGTGATAATTGAAAAGTGATAATTTTCACATGTGAAATTATCATAAATAATCTCACATGTGAGATTATCAGTTTTATCAATGCTCAAATGTCTATAAAGCACTATAGTACTTCATGTACTGTTTAATGAATGAACAGGAGTGTGTTATTAGCTAGGTTTAAAGCCACTGCACGCTCGTGGCTTTAGACCTAATAAAATACGACCTGCGAGATTATTAAACAGCTTCAAACACAACTACAAATTCAGGACTGATATATAGTGCCTTATTAGTATTCTTTATATAAAGAATACTAATTAGGAGTGTTTTATCAGGTTTGAAGTCACTGCATGTGACATATTATGGTTGACATGATTTGCCAATAAGCTTATGAATTATTAATGAGTGTTTGAAACTATAATTAAAATACGCATTAATAATTCATACACCTTGTGGCAAATCATGTCAGCCATAATATGTCACATGGAGTGACTTTTTATATCTGATAAAACTACCAGGTGATCTCGTGTTCGTATTTCAGCCAATAAGCGCTCAGAAAGGGTTGTCCAAATAGAAATCCATTTTGATGTATTCAGTCAATTATATCTTTCGTTATTCTTTATGAAACTAGTTGAAATTTTGTAATTATGTTTGGTTAGGTGAACTATAGCTCTGACAAAAATATGGAATCGAAATAAGGTATACTACAGGAGATATTCAGTTGTTTTAATCATAAAATGAATTTCTATTTGACAACTAGTGCCAGTACTTTTCCGCATATCAAGATCACCTGGTAATTTTCATTAGTTTTCTTTATATAATTGTTCATCCTAATTAGTATGATTATATAATTGTTCATCCTAGTTGATATTCTTTTGTATTCGTATTTTAAGCTATTCAAAACATGAGTAGGAGTGTTATATCAGACATAAAATGCTTGGCTGTGCCTCGTGTTCTATTTCTGATAAAAACTCCTACATGTGTTTTAATTAAATAGTACATAAATATAATACGGTATCTCAGTCAAACAATGACACCAGTCAACAGGGTTACAGGGGTCCCCACACCAAATATGCCTAAGAGCCCCTCCACCTCTTTTATGCCAATTAGAACAATTTATCCTGTCATATATTATGGACGTGAACAATATATCGATCCATCGTGGGTAAAAAGGCGTGGGTCGTGGGTAAAAAGGCATGGGTCGTGGGTAAAAAGGCGTGGGTCGTGGGTAAAAAGGCATGGGTTGTGGGTAAAAAGGCGTGGGTCGTGGGTAAAAAGGTGTGGGTCGTGGGTAAAAAGGTGTGGGTCCCGAATAAAAAGGCGTGGGTTCCAAGCAAAATATTTCCATATATTTACCTTCCTCCCTTTGGAATGCGTTTTTTTTTTCTTCTGAGGCTTTCCCAAACTATATGCCCAAATATGCATAGCTTAGAGCACGTTAAGGCCGGGTTTTTGATATCGGCAGATCGGTTTATAAATATTATAACCAAGTGTGGATGAAACAGTCCAACTTCACTGCCCCATATAGCTCAAATATTTGGACGTTATAATCTTATAGACAGATAAATATTGTAATTCTTCAATAGGAAATAGTGCTGTCAAGCCTGTCATAAATAGCTAAATTCTGACATTCAGGGCTTCACTAATTTGTTGATCGATGTTCTTACAGTAATAAGCGAGAAATTTCCACTTGGACAGTGTTAATTTAATA